GGAAAGCTGACAGGCTCCACATCCAAAACAAATTTGCCAGCTCAATCATGTTACCTCAATAGTTCCACAACATCATCCATCAAAGGATTCTTCTCAGTATTTTTAAGCTACGGGAATAACAGACTTGTACTAACCAAAGCAAGTCATGGAAAGGAAATAGATCTTTCATGGAACAGTGATAAATTCTGCTTATGCAGATTATCTTAATATGTCCAGATAATCTTTCAGTACATGATTTCAAAACACCGATAGACAGTGTAATTCAGTTTTCTGTTTCAAAGAACATGAATACACATGGAGATTATGAATAGTCCAAACATTAGTACAACTTATCATCATCTACCTTTTCTCTATTTCCAGTATCAAATGGTAGTATGACTTCCCAAAGAATGTCTTAAAAACAGAAATGGAGGAGTTATCCTAGATTATTTTGTTCCTATTTATTTGCAATCACCACTTCATACACACACACAACATCAGAAGTATTGCATTCCCCAAATACCTTTGGGATTCATCCATATCACTCCATCTCCATTGCCATGACCCTAATCCTACCCATCACCATCTGTTGGCTGATCAACTACAATGACCTAGTGATGCATTTCCACCTGACAATAAGTCAGATTCAGGACAGTTTTTATGCTGTAGTCAGTATGACCTTCTCAAAACACAAACATGTCCATTCAAACTCCTTCACAAGCTTCCCCCTGCTCTACAGAATAGTTTATAATAACAGCTTACAAATCAATGTGCTCATGGCATGCCAGTACTTTTATAAGCACTTGGCTGTATTAATTCATTTAATCATCACATTATGAGATGGATACTTATGTCATCCCATTTTACCAATAAGGAAACTGCGCACAGAGAAGTTAAATGATTATGCCAGGGTCTCATAGCTAGTAAGTGGTGGAGTCAGATTCAAAACCAGGCAAGTGTCATTTCAGAGTCTATGCCTTAACTTCTATGATGTAATTGCATCTCAGAATATTTCGCATGGCAACCAACAGTTTTAATTATCTGGACCTTACCCACATGTTTAGTCTTATCTTCTTCCTATAAATCTTGATAAGTATGGTCTTGTTCTATTTCTAAGCTTTTGCCAAGCAGATAACCTAATACTAATCCTGCTTCACCTAGTCCCGTCCTTGATTACTTAGTCATTGAGATTATGTCAGGTAGCACTTTCTTCTAAGCTTTCTGTACTCCATTTCCCAGGCTGGATTTTGTGAGTCTCCTCTGTATTATCTACAAGCTTGAAAAAGGAGGATGTGGTGGAAAGTAAGAGAAGAACTGAAATGTGTCTGTTTTACTTGGAAATAAGAATAATTGACGACTTCGGTAAAGGCAGTTATATGTGTGAACCACTGTTTATTAAAGCTTGATTGTATACGTTGTCCAGGTCTTGGTTGTACAGGAAAGGGTCAAGAAAAGGTGGTATTTATTTCCATTGTTGACAAAAGAACTCAGAGAGGGGAAGAGGTTAAAAATACAGAAAAGAAAAGGGATAATTATGTACAGAGATCTCTTAAAAAGCAAGAGAATGGCATGGAACCTAAAACAAAGGTGAGGCGATTGAACTTGGACTGATAGAGGGCACGTTTTTTTTTTCTCTAAAACAAAACAAAAACATGGATGAAGATGCAAATCAATGCATGTATAAAAGATGGTGAAGTGGGTGGATCAGAGACATACCTGATGGATTCTATTTTCTGTGTAAAAGAGGAAGCAAATACACCTCCTGAGAATAAATGTATAGTAGCTGAATGGGAGGCTTAAAAAGAGAGAAAGCCTGCAACAGCCACCAAAGAAGGTGTAACAGAGCTGAAGGAAATCCAGAAGAACCTGAGTATGGACATGTAGAAGGATGACCTGGTTAGCACCTACTCATTTTTCAGATATTAACACAGATATCACTTGCTCAGTGAAGCTAAAGGAAGCCTCTCTTACATGCTATTAGATCGCTGATTCTCTTTCCTTTAAAGATTTATAATGGTTTTAATCTCATATTAATTTGTAGAATTATCTGATTAATTTCTACTTCATTAAGACTATAAACTAAGTGAGGTCAAGGGTCGTATTTTTTTTTGCTGACATTATTACCAATGTCCACTATTTCTTACCCTTTGCCCACCTTCACCCAGCTCACTGTTGTATCATTTAACCATTAGTTTCCATCTTTAAAATGTGAAGAACATTAAACTTTATTTATATGACTAGGATGTGGATATAGTTACATTATCACAAGCTAGAATTAAAAAGATAAAAAAGCAGGAACTTCAAATTATTCACTATTATATCCCTAGTACCCATCACAGTTTATGGCACATAGTATATGCTCAATAAATAACTGGGTGAATGAAACTGATATGGCAGGACACAAATCTTCTGACTTCTATTCCAGTGTTTTTCCTACCCTACCAGAACTACCCATACAAGTTGCTCAATATATCGTAGTTATTATAAGGTTTTTGCGTATGCATTTCTATCTGCTTGACTCAAGAAGAAAATGAAGCTCTGAGAAGTTAAGTATTATGTGCAAGTTAAACAACTAGGACATGGTGTAATCAGAATTCAATTCCAGGTCTTCTTGGTTCCACAGTATGAACTCTTTCTCCAATTGCACTCTTCCTGCTAAAGTATTAAGTGATAAAAGATGTAATATATGAACCCTCCCAAGGATGTGTGCATTTGAAAGTCCTCCCAAGCTCCCCAATTGCAAAGACAAACAAAATAATTATTTTAGTGGAAAAATCTCAGGCAAAGTGACTGTGACAAGTCAATGAGGATAGTTTTTGTGGGCAGGCACTGGTCAACTGCCTCCCAAATCATGCTATGTAGGCACCTATTGAACTATTCTATGACCATGCACATTATCTATCTCCCCAGCTAAAGTTTTGATTTCACAAAGAATGGAAGATATAATTCCAAAGAGCTTATCTCAGCATGGCCTACACATGACACTGGAAGCAGCACGGAATAATGGAAAGAGCATGAATGTTGTGGCCATAAAGGTCAGAGCAAGACAATTCAGCTCTGCCCTACCTGGTCTGACTCAGTGGATTGAGTGCCAGACTGCAAACCAAATGGTCGCTGGTTTGATTCCCAGTCAGGACACACACCTGGGTTGCAGGCCAGGTCCACAGTTGGGGGCACATGACAGGCAACCACACATTGATGTTTCTCTCCCCCTCTCTCTCTCTTCCTTCCCCTCTCTCTAAAAATAAATAAATAAAATCTTTTTAAAAAGGAACAATTCCACTCTGTATACCTCAACTTTCTCATCTAACAAATTAAGGAAATAATACTTAAGGTTTAGGAAATGATTAAATGAGATAGCACATATAAAATGTCTGCAGCATAGTGGGCATATAATTCAAGTGTTGTTAGTTGCCTTCCACTTCCCCCATATCCAGAAGTCACCTCCTATTGATGCTTTGAAGACACCCTGAAAAATACATAGAAAGGAACAAGCAACCCACCCGACCCCTGACTCCTCCAAGTTGTAGTGAAACACAAGTGATATTTCTCTCATTTTCAAAAAGTACCCTGAAAGCTGTTTTTCATTTGCAGGAGAGACCTTAGCATTAAAAGAAAAAATGAAAAGAATCCAATAGTTTCTCTGCCTCTTTTTTATTTAATCCTGCTGTTTAAATAATCATTTCTAACATTTTTATTGCCTTTCACAACATTAGGCAGAGTCAGGATATCTCATTTATTTCCCAAGTTAATAAATTAAGATGCAGAGGGGCAGGATGTCCATCCCAAGGTCACAGGGCCATATGGGGGAAGGCTATAACTGAAAACCACACTGATTACTTCTTAGTTTATTATTCTGTAATAATACGAATAACAACAAAAACAACAACAATTCCATGCACTTAAGTCTTGAGCTCCCTAAAACATTCTATATTTTAACAAAATTTTTAAATAGAAAACAGCTGATAAATCCCCTATATTCATGTCATGGGTTTCATATACATTTATACATATTAAAAATGACAGTTAATCTGTAAGCATCCAAAGTCAATGCAATGTGTAAAAGTGGTATGTTTTTCAGTGTTAGGTATGTGTTAACTATGTATTCTTTCAGAGGAAAATAAGTGCCAAATGCGTAAGATGCTACTTCATTTCACAGCAAAAGCAGTGAAAATTAAAATTTTTATTTTTATGACCATACTATATATGTAACCATAATATACAAATAAATGAAATCACCACATGTAGAGGACCATATCCTTCCTCTATAGGCATGCATGTCTATAAATTCAATCAAGACACCATATAAAGATAAATTAAATCATTCAATTTAGAGGAGCTCTATGGTTATTTATGAGCTTAAGAGAGGAAAGGTACTGCAAAGTGGAGGTTTTCATTTGTACAAAATAAAATCTCATAGAAAGTAATGTCAGAAAATCTTAACTCTAAAATGCAACTATTCTTGCTATTTCCATAAGACCAGGTTTGCTTATAAGATGTATGATTTTTACAGGAAATAGAAGTGAGTAAGGAAACAACAGTAAGAATTAAAAGCTGTTTTGGCCAGGTAGTTCAACTGGTTAGTGCATAGTCCCAATACACCAATGTTGTGGTTTTGATCTTCAGTCAGGACTCATGCAAGAATCAAGCAATGAATGTGAAAATAAGTGGAACAAAAATCAGTGTTCTCTCTCTCTCTCTCTCTCTCCCCTCCCTTCCTCATTCTCTCTAAAATCAAAAAGCAAATTTTTTAAAAAAGACAGCTGGTCATTAAGAAATAAATTTCAAAAAGTGTTAAAAGCAATAGTGTTATTTATGCTAATCATCCAACACCTATAAATTAGCTTCATGCAAAAAAAGCACTATTTCCCCAAAATTAATATTATACCAAGTTAAACAAACAATTTTTTGCCACAAAAATATTTATGAGCCTGTTTTAAAGGTGAAGAAAGTGAAATGAATAATTATTCACAAGTTACCTCTCTCACACTCCTTCCCCCAAATTTAAGTTCCAGACTTACTGTAAGCAAATAATGTGTCCAGTTATAATAAAATCTTCTGTAATACCAATGAAATATGTCTCAATGAACAGCTTCTTAAACTTCATAAATTTTAAGTGACCTTAGAATTGAAGTCTTTAATGTAGGAGGAGCTTTACTTCATCCACCAAAATTACCAACTGTCATGAGAAAATTTGCATTCAAAGCAGGTCAGTATCCAAGGCTACATTTGTCAAAAGATTCAGAGGAAACCACAAAGTTCATCTGAGTTATTTTCTTTCCCTTTTAATTAGTTCCTGATAGGCATTTCAGTATTCCAATGTTATTTTGCTATGTTACTCATCACGCTGGGAATTAAAAGATAATCCAAAGATTACCAGGTCTATGTTGTTTATTCCTGCACTATCCAAAGTACTTCACTGTCTTGAGTTGCAAATATCTTTAAGTATGAAAAGTCATAAATGGACAAGGAATCTGAAACCTAGATTCTACTCAACACTTTTCCTCCTGCAATTAGCTAGGTGACCTTGGGGAATTAATTGCCTTAACACCTTTAAACTTCAGTTTCAATAAAAATATTGAATAAAACCTCAGAAGTCATCTAGTTCAACCTTCAACTCCAAACAAAATTGCCTTCTCATTTGCCTTACGGAATCTCTGATTTCTAAAGTCCTTGGTGTTGTAATTAAAATTTAGTGTCATGTATCTTTTCTCCATTGCAAGTTTATCAAATATTTCTTTACATAACCAAAGAAGATTTTATTTCAGCCCCAAATAAAATCAAATGAAGAAACTCAGATCACCACCAAATTGTCCTTTCATCTATTAAGTCCCCACCGAGTTTTTAATCCACCCCTGATTTAATCTCCATGCTAAGAAACTATGAAGAGCCATAAGAAGACAGAATACTGTGATACTTTTCTAAAGTAGATGAAATTATTTCAGTGATTTCTATTCCAAAATAAGAATGAATTGAGATTGGATCCAGTTTACATACCACTTAATATTTTAATGGATAAAAATTATATCCTTGCTTTGGAAGGAAGGTTCAAACTTAGTAACTTCCCTCAGACACCAAAGATATATTTTACACTAAATATGTAAATAAACAAAAAAAAGCAAGGAGACTGAATGAAGAGGGGATTGTGGACACAGTCTCCTCTCTATTATTAACTTTGTGTTTTACCCTGAGAGTTTTTTTTCTTTTATGTTCATTTGTATAGTTAATGGCTAATCCTAAAGTGAAGTTGAAAAGTGGGAAGAAACAGAATTGTTTAGGGAGTTTACTACCTGCTTTTCAAATGTTAGCTAGTTTAGTACTTTCACAATTATTTTTGTCAGAAGTTATTTATCAGGTATTTTATGATAAAAACTTGTTCACATAATAGTAAAAAAAAATGGAGACCTAGATTTAAAACTTTTTCTTTTCCTGTGATTACCATTCCAACTAACTCATTTATCTTCTAATTTAAGAAAAAGAATTCTACAGGAAGTTTTTTTCAAGCTTCTGTTTCCACCAAATCTTCTGGCCCTTGCAAATATTTCATTATACCATACTTCCTTATATTGTGGTATAATGAAAAAGTTTAATTCAAAGAAATACAACTATAAAATCATCTTAGAATAATACAGTACTTTTATTTGTAGACATGCAAACCCTAAGTTAAGTATAGCTAATAAAATGTTGTTGGAAACAATGCACCATGCCTCGGATGTTAAAATTGATTAGATATGAACTTCTATCCTAGTCTGATAGCTTACTCAGTGAAAGCATAAGCTAAGCTTTGCTTCTCTGTCTGAAGAGAAAGACACTAAAAAAACTCCTCATTTTAATATACTAAAACTTCTATGTGGTGGCTTTCTGTGACATCAGTAAAAGTTGCTGATGATACATGTGTGCTTGTTCTTTTGTATTCTCATTACTCTGATCCAGATACAAAGCATGTTGCAACTCTTAAGAAAAAGAGAATTTGGGAGTAAATTTGGTTGATGCAGAGAAAAGAGTCTGAATAATACTAGTTGGAACAGTTCCTCCCTAGCTGGAATCTGGTCTACACCAAAATCAAGAAAAGGCATGAACCCACACATGAAGCAAGCCAGGGTCAGTGTCACACAAGGGGTGTGGAATGAAGAGGTAAATCAAAGCCTCAGGGAAGGAAAGTTCTTCAGGATAGTTGGGATCAAGTCATTCTTGTGAAAGAACTAGGCAAGATGGTACAAATGATTCCACAAGTAGTCTACAATGTGTCCCTGGAAAGGGGCCACCAGAAACAATGTTAAAAGATTTAGTCCAGGACCCCAATTTCAACAGACACAGGAAGAATTGAGTTTCCGGATCAGAGCCAAAGTCTAATTAAACAACCAAAAGCAGATGGTGGGGTAGGAGGAAAAAACCAAAGCCTGATGCTTACAAAGCCTCTTGGGGCCCTAATCAATTCTAGAGGCAAAGCACGCATGAGGCTAATTCCAGACTTCTTACCTACTAACAGTTAATGGTTCTCACTGGGCCACAGCTATGTCGAACTTAGGCTTTCTAGGCTGACACCATGAAGTGACCTTAGGATGGGCCTTGGGTGGACAAGCACTATCCCTGGCCCCTCTAGCAGGATCATACATATATTACTTTATTTTATCTATTATCCCCCTAAGATAGCTAAAGAGATGCTAGTTCAGTTTTACAAATGGATATGAGTCAAGTTTCAATAGATTAAGTCACTCTCCAAAAGTCAAAGATTCAGGAGAAATAAAATCTAGGTGGACCTGACACCTAACCCAGTGTTCTTCCTGCAAAGTCATGCTACTGTCAGGATACTTTCTGATACTCCAGTAGCTAAAAGAGTTCACCAGTAGGGATCATGATATTTCTTCCATTGTGTAAAGTTCTGTAACTCCCCTTCTGTTGACGATCAAAACAGGAAATGGGTATTCCTGAACTTCTGTTCAAATGAAGCAATCAGCAAAAGCAGTATTTAATTTCTCAAAGTGTTACTTCCTTTGTAAGGTTAAGGGACATTAAATAAGCAAAAACAATAAAAATACATAAAAATAACCACTGACTATATAGTGTACATGTATACACATGTACACACAGTTCTTTTAAAAAATCTCTGGATTTAAGAACAATTTTTAACCATTCAGGCATATGTCAAACTTCTAAGATTCTGAGGGTTTTTAAAAATAATAGCATCCCCAAAAACCTAACATGAAAAGTTATTTAACAGAGTTGGTTATTATACAGAAAAACAGTGTCATATGAAGAACATACTCTACTGAGACAGAGGATATTTAGACTGCCTGCTTTCCCTGAAATACAGTTTTTCATTATTCTGAAACCAACTAATTTATGAACTTTGAATTCCCCTCCGGACAACGACACATTCAACAGCAGGACACCAGAGCTGAGCTTCTCAGGAAACCCACATGAGCTGGGAAATTCATGATCCAGTGCCCAGATCAACACCAAAGAGTCTTAAACACAGGCCCACAGACTGCAGAGGTCAGCATTTCAGGACTCTAGTTTTTATTCACTCACATTCGTGCAATGGTTTACAGAGAAACAGTGTGCCAAGAACTGCGCTAGATGCTAGGTATACAAATGTGAGTTAGATCATATGTCATGTAGCTTACCTTCTAGTTAAAGGGAATAGAACTTAAAAACTATTAAATAATTACACTCCTGTTCCTGATAGTATCAAGTTGTGGTACAATAAAAAATATATTTGGTATTTGTCCCCAGTTTCTGGCACAGAGATGCTAAAAACTTTGGAATTTCCTGAGTGATAGAAGTGTCTTTTGTTATTCCTACTGAGTCCCTTTAACCATACCTGTTCATGCTAATGAGGTGACTCCTGGTCACATAGAAAGGAAGAGGGCTAGTTCCCAGAGGAATTAACCAAGTGATTAGAGGGTTGGAATTTGCAGTCCCATCCTGACCTCCAAGAACATGAGAGAGGCTGGAAGTTAATTTCAATTTCCAATGGTCAATGATTTCATAAATCATGCTTATGTAATAAGACATCCATAAAAACCCCTAAACTTGTGCAGAGAGCTTCCATGTTAGTGAGCACATCAAAGTCCTGGGAAGGTGACATACCTGGAGAGAGAATTAAAGCAAGCTCCCCAGGTTGTGGTAAGCCTCTGCCACCCCAATATCTCGCCCTGTACAGTGTATCTCTTCCATTAGGTTGTTTCTGAGTTGTACCCCCATAATAGACTAGGAAAGTGTTTACCTGAGTTCTTTGAGTTGTTCTAGCTAATTCTTGAACCTGTAAGGAGTCATAGAAACTCCTGAATTTATAGTTAGTTAGTCAGAAGTACTGAGATTTTCTACTGGAATCTAAAGTAGGGACAGACTTGTGGGACTCAGTCCTCAACCTGTGGTGTCTTCGCTAACTATAGAAAGTTAGTGTCAGAATTGAATTGAATGGTAGGACATCCACATGGCACCAGAGAATCTGGGACCATATAATTGGTTGATGTCAGAAAACATGTCAGGCAAGTCAACCTTCTTTATAACTATTTATGAGTCATAGAGCCCAGAAGATATGACAGAAATTTAGACAACAGTATGCGAGCAGCAGTGATATGTGTAATCTTTAGATCATGTTTTGACAGGAAACTCCCTTGTCCTCTTTTTACTTTCCCCTCATTCCACCAGCACAAACATGATAGTAGGAGTCATATTTGACCACACAAAGAACATACTAGTAGACGACAAAGCAACAAGGTAGAGAGATCCTCAGGGTCTTTGGGTGACCTTCTGTTTCAGTGCTGCTGCCCACCTTTGGTCTGTTGCTTGAGCCATAATATTTTGAGAACTCTAGATTATAACAACTTACCTTGTACCCTAAATAATATAGAACTAAATATTGATGAAAGTGCAATTCATATTATTTATGTTATACTTTTCAAAGGCATTTGCCCATGGGATGTAAAAATTAAAGAATGCATACAGTTCCAAGGAAAAATATGCCAATGGTGTTTGAGAACCAGTGACAGACCAGGGGTTTTTGTTTTCTTTTTGTTTTTACCTCCTTTAATTTGAGTATACCAA